CATCCATAGATATGGATGGGACGTATTTTTCAATATAATATGGTTGGGGCAACCAGACGTATGGATGTGACATCCATTGCTTTTTTTCAGTGCAAGTTAACAGGAAATTGACGGCCATAAGTTCGGAAGTTAATACTGTTATCTTCCCGTTAGCTTCCCACTCTCTAAATTTGAATCAGCGGAAAATCGCTGATTGGACAGCTATAAGTATGCAGCTGATTCAAGCAGTGTATATACATTGATAATTAGCGCATATAAACTATTTCATCAGTGTATGTTTGAATCAGCTGCATACTTATAGCTGCAAATTAGCGACGTTTCGCTGATTCAAATTTAGAGAGCAGAAGTTTTAAATGTCCTCAGAGTTTAAGTTAACACTGTTAACTTGCTGGAATTTATAAAGCTAAATTTACCTAAAGTTTTCACAGAAAAAACCTGAACTCAAAATGATAGCGTATGCTACTCATTTTGATATGCAGCAAAAATGAGTCAGGTTGGTGGCGCCACTGTCTATGTCGTTTAGTATTGACTTATTTTTGCTGCATATCAAAATGAGACTATGTTTTTTCTGTGTTTTTAGTAAGTTTGCATAAATTTTGCAAGAAGTTTTTTCTGATAAATTAAAAAAATTATTTTTTTCAAGATGTATGTATTTTATTACATCCATACCTTCTCTATAGGGAAATGTAATTAAAAAGTATTGCGCAGCCCTAGCTGCCATAGAAAACATCTGCGCATGAAAATTGATCTTTAATTTTACCATGAAAATTTTGTGTAAAATTATAAAGGAAAATTTTCAGCAAATGTATTTCTGGGAAGTTAACTTTGTTAACTTCCAAACTTATCGCTTTTAACTTTCTGTTAATGATAGAACGTCCAAGCGCCCATCCTGCTGGAAGGGTCTTTTGGCCGACAGGACGCAATTTGTTTAAAACATATATTTCCATTAAATTTTCTTAAATTACCACATAAAATTCCATACATTACCAAAAATTAGCCTATAAATTTCCAAAATTAGTTTTCAAATTTTTCTTTTATATATTATAAATTACCGCATAAATTTCCTGCAATAATTTTTAAATCTTAAATTTTGTTTGTATTACAATGATAAAATACCTCAAAAATTTCATAAATTACCGCATAAATTTCCATAAATTACCACGTAAATTTTCTGCAATAGTTTTTGAATCTTGAATTTTGTTTGTATTATTATTATAACACTATGTACAAAGATTTGTATCCAGCGCAATTGCGGATGGATGAAAAAGACTCAGGTGAGAGTCTCTCCGAAATTACATTATAAAATTAACATGGATTCAGATAAACATAAAAAAATATATATGGTTCGAAAGATACACTGAAAAAAAATTCTAGTTAGAATAACCAGAATTCTGGTTAGGGTATATTTAACATTTTGATTCTGGTTAGGTTAACCAGAATTCTGGTTATTTTAACGAGAATTTTAGTTAATTCAACTAGAATTCTGGTTAACATAACTAGAAAGTAATGTTAAATATAGCCTAACCAGAATTTTTTTTTCAGTGTAATTAAAAAAGCTATCAGATCATGTAAATATCAAGTTTCTAAATTTAAATATCAGGGCTAGGTAATCGTATCAATAAACTGAGAAGAGTCCTTCCGGCAGGACCGGGCGTCGACGATTTAGCACTAAAAATTAGGTCAGTTTTACAAAAATTTAACTTCCTTAAGTTGCCTCGCCTTGAGGTTTGAATTTATAAACTTAATTTTTACATGCGCTGAAAGCTTGTATCTTTACCTTTCCAACCATATATATTTTTTTGTGTTTATCTCAATCCAAGTTAATTTTAGAAAGCGATTTCGGAGGGACTCACATGAGTTTTTTTCATCCTGCAGGAAGGACGTTGGACGTTCTATCATTAAGTTCGGTGCTATCAGGGTCACGACATTTTTTAACACCAATTTTTTCGTGCGGCTGTATTAAACACAAAAATGCGTTGATTTACTTTGGTATCAAATTAAAAATGTTTTTACGGTGTTATTTATTAGTTAAAAACAATAGTTTAATATTTCTCATTTGGTTTCATAAAAATTGGAATGGTGGTCCACTCATGGATACATTCCCCTAATAAATTTGGTATAATATATTGAAAATCAATGAAATTTCATTGATTAGAAATGAAATGAAATTTCGAGATCAGAAATTAATTGAATTTTGAAACAGAAGAATTCACATACAGTCGTGAAGAATCGAACCTTGATCCCTTACTGTTACAAATTCAGCACGGTATCAGAATAAAATGAATTAAAGTGATGTCGATCATACTGAATTGATGCAATTACTAATTTCTATGATTTCCATGAGGGAATTTCTTTTTTGTTTAAGAAAAAAATTGATTTAAATTTATTGAAAACGATAGAGAAAAATTTTTATCTTTTCCTATTTTCTTTATAAAAACTAGAATTAGCAATAATTATTGATATCTTTAAAGTTCTGAACACTTTCAAATAAAGGAAATTTTTTATGAGGCTGAAGTCTGCAACGTTTTCAAAAACGAAAAATTAAAATAGAATTATTTTTTCATCTTAATTTATCTCTAATTTTGATTTGCACAAACTTTCAAGAAATTAATACTTTTATAAAAACCAGTTACCCCCGAATAACTTTAATTTTAACCCAAATTAATAGATATTGTCTAATTATTTTTTCGTTTTCTTTTATAAAAACGTTGCGGACTTCAGCATCATAATTTTTTTCCGTTTCGATATTTATCAAAATTATTGTACTCTGCGGTGAGGAATAAATAATAAATTCAACAATTATATTTATTTTTTAATTTATAAAGTAATATTTCCTCACGGAAAATTAAAAGGCATTAAAATAAGCTGCAATGCTTATTATTTTAATCCAATTTTGCTTATTTTACCTAATCCATTTTGGTATTAAAATAATAATAGCGTTGCAGCTTATTTTAATACCTTATAATTTTCTGTGCTACTAAAATTCAAACTTAAAAATACGTAACAAAAAAAATTCGTTCATTTGAACGTGTTCTGAACTTTGATAACAAAATGTCAATTATTATATAACAATTAAAATCACTTTAATACGTAATTCATTAATTTTATTCAAAGAAAATTTCTTTGATTCAAATAATCGGTTACTTAACTATTATCAAATAAATATTTACTTGAATCAAATAATTTTGATTTGAATTAACTAAACTGTATTTGAACCAATAATTTCTGTATTTGAAAAAAAAATTTAATTTATTTAAAAATTATTTAAATAAAGGAAATATTTATTTGATAACGCAGTTGATTGTTTAAATAAAATAAATTTGTTTTTTTTAGTGTATCAATAATATACACTGCTAATTTTAATTAAAATTAGATTGTCTATTTAAAATTATTTTAAATAATGAACAATTTAATTAATAATTATATAGGTAACAAAATTCACGCATATAGTATTTTATTTTATAAATCTTTATTTTATACCAGGCACCTCATAAAATGTGTTTGCCTGCTTAAATTGAAAAGAGTATTTTTCAGAGCGTGTATAAAATAGCAGAAGGTATAGAGAAAAAAAGTAAATCTTCATTAAATATTATTTTTTCATTTTTTTCACGTACATTTAAAATATTTTGCTACATACTTTTTTTTTATAGAAAAAAAAAATTGCGAGCATAGTGAAAAACGATTTAAACACGTTTCGGTTTAAAGAAACTCTCTCTGGTTTATTTGATATCTTGATTTATTCGCGCTTTTTTTTCATTGTATATTTATATATACATACGCCTTGTGTTCTCTACATAGGATGTACATAGCCAATTTTGCTTGTCTCCTTTGCTTTCTCTCACACACGTTTTTGGTTCTTGCGGTCATGTGCTTTTTGGTACAAAATTCTCTCGAACTTCCTCTTGCAAACCTTCTCCTTCTCTCTCTAGCTCAAGTCATTCTCACTTGGAAAGCTATAACGGCTCGTACTACTATTCCTGAATATATATATATAGGTATACATTGTATATATATATATGTGTGTTGGGCTGCAAAGACCATTGAGGGAGGCTTGCAAGCTTCCAAAGTTGGGAAAAAGCCAAGGAAGGGGTTGTACTAGCCGAGCTTTCATCATCAGAGCGCAAGCTCCAGAGTCTTGTGTATCCTCCCACTATAAGTTGAAAGGGAGGAGCTTTCATGCTTGCCAATACATATTCGGTCAAATTCGTCCTCAGTTCTTTCACGTCCAAAACGCGCGCGACGCACGATCTCGCAGTGCTCTGCTGCACCATAAACTAGGTATATAAAAAAAAAATTTGATAAAAAGACAATGAATAAAAACAAAACAAATAAACGTGTTATTCTGTTGGTTCCATTTTTTAACATGGCTTTCTAGAGTTTCAGGAATTTATATTCATTCAGTGTTTGGTTTTTTTTTGTATTTTTATTTTCTGTTACTTCTGTTTTTTAAATTTCACTTTATTTTACTTTTTATTTTTCGTGTTTTATTTTTTCTTTCTTTATAACTAACAATAGATTATGTAACAATTTTAGTTGGAATGGTAGAAAAGCAGAGGGAGGGGTCAACTTTTATTGTTACATTATTATTGTAACAAAAAAAAATCATATGAATTATTTTCAGATTTTATTTTTTTAATTTTCTTTAATTTTTTTTTTTTTATTAGAATTTTACCAATTTTATTTTCAAATATTTGAAAAACATTTTTTATCACGGGATTTGAGAATTCATTTTTTTTTTTTAGCGGGAAATAACATTTTATTTATTTTAATAGTAAATATGAAAATGCAAATTACGTATATATAAATATTTTTAATTTTTTGTATAATTTTATTTTCCTTAAATTATAAATTTCAAATAATTGGAAAATATAAAAAGATTGGTAATTATATAATGAATTTGAAAACGAATGAAATTTTTCAAATGCGATATTTTTTTTCAAAAGCGTTAATTACTTTTCATTATATTTATATAGTATAGAATTCTTATCTTTTCTCAATAGCAGTTCCTTTCTCATCAAAAATGTCGTCATCAGAACGCGAGTGGGAGTTTTTCAAAAAGATGGATTAAAATAATTTCTTGGAATTGTGCCAGTTTTTTTCTTTGGGGGAAGAAGAACGCTATACTAAGGTGAGGAAACTAATTTTCTTCCTCACATTGCACTTTTTTTTCCCCCCTTCCTTTATCTATATTTACTGCCTCTTTTTAATCGTACTTTATTAAATTGAAAAACTTTATAGTTTTTGTTCATTTCGTTGAATGAATATAATTTTCGTTTCAGGTTCGTTAAGTAGATTTTTGAAAAAAAAAAAATTCACCTTTATTTCTTAAAAAGTTATATATAATAATTATTTGCACTCTTTACATTTTTTTTTACTCAATATTTTAAATTTTATCGAATATAGGTGTGTTTATAAAAAATTAATAAAATCTAAGAGTCAGAATATTATTGTAAAACTGAATGCTATTTTTTAGCTGAAACATGATCTGATTTTAAGGCAAACTTCTTTTTTGATGAATAGTTTATTTTTAAATTAATTTTTTAAAAAGTTTCGTGAAGAAATTTCTTTGAAACCGGTTTATCTATTTCTTTGCTGATGATATAAGGGTATTTTAATTTTCTTTCTACGACGACAATAAAATTTTTTTTCGCACGTTTATATATTTCAAAAGAACATCCGTAAAGTAAGCATTTTGTTTGTTTGTTTGTTATATTGGACAAAAGGTGCGAAACAATATATTTAAAAGTCATTCTTGTGAATCGAATTGTAGTTAACGGTTTTTAATGCGGAAATTCTAGGACCAAGTTGAACGATCAGCAGAATAGAGTATTGACTTAACGGTAAAATTTATATACATATATATATATAGCAAATTCTACACATCATATATAACAATGTTTCGCTAAATTTTATCTCAAAGCCTACGCAAATGATTGTATGCAGAAAAATTAACGACATGCAATAGAAAGCCATGTCTTTATTATTATTTTCTGCATACGCACATAATAACGAGTTGAGGAAATAATATATATATAAGACGTCGCAATTTACAATAATTAAAGCCTTGATTATGACTCATCAGTTAAAAAAAAATTTGGGGCAAATTTTTCACTTTCTTTAATTTATAAATTTTTTTTCCTTGTATTTACTTTATTTTTAACTAAAAATAGAAATTAAAGAAAAAATGTCTACTAAGAGCATGAAAATAATTATTTGATTCAAAAAGAAAATGTACATCATATTTTCATGTTGAACATATAATAATTTTTATACTTTTTTCAGAACTGTTCTGAAAAAAAATTATTTGATTCAAATAATTGGTTACCTAATTATCAAAATAATATTTTCTTTAACCAAATAGTTTTTAAGTCAATTAAATTTTATTTGTTACAAATACAGAAATTATTGCTTTAAATAGAGTTTATTTGATACAAATAAATATTTATCTGTTACAAATATAAATAGTTATTTGGTAATAATCAGGTAACCGACCATTTGAATCAAATAAATTATTTTAGTGTAGATTTTATATTTTCTCATTATTAGTGTATGTTTGATTTTCATATTTTTTTTTTTAAACCTTTTTCGAAGAGTACGGACCTATTTGAAACACTCTTTATTTTCGTTGAAATTTTAACGCGTGCAGAAGAATTTAGTAAAACGTTTTCGATAAACCTATAGTGATTGATTTTCATTTTTAATGAAAAAAAGTATACTTGAAAAGAGAAAAGTTTGTAAATTTCACCAGAACACATTTTATAAAAAATTTTTATACATTTTTCTATAGTGGCACTTTGTGACCCTATAAATTTTTGAGTAAAGTTATTGCAAACAAATTATGAAAACATCATTTTATCAATATATATATATATATATACTGATTTAGCGCTAATTTCCGCCTTTTGTAACACGAAAAACATATACATCAATTGAAAGGGCACCTTTGTTCCCATTATATATAGCTTGTGAAAGTTCAATGATGTTTTATATAGCGATGCGAATGAACTCACCTTCTATCGTGTCAACGAATTCCAAGTGCGATGCATTGATTTAATGACACTCCTTAAATTTCACAACGTCGAGGAAATAACCTCGAGGATGAGTAACCCAGTACCTGCATATTGCTTTTCTTTTTATTATTATTATTATTTTTTTTGTAATGCTTCTTACATCTCATATTTTATTTTTATTGTCAATTGATATAACCCACTTGTACATATTATTATTGAGTAATGCTAACTAAATCTGGGTGTTCTATTTTTTCACTTTCAATTTGATATCACGTTACTAATTTAGCATTCAATTTCACAGAATGCGTGGGTGCCTTATACGCTTATATATTGTGAAAGTCTCTTTTTTATATATATTAGAAAATAAAAGTACATTTTATATCCGTAATAAATTTTATATTTTAAATTTTTGCAAATTGTTTGGTTGATATAGAATATATGGATGGTGTTTCTTCGCAAAGTGTAGGTAACTTCATGTCACTCATATGTTTTTTGAAAAAAAAAGTTGCATTTTATACTGCAATGATAATGTAAAAAATAAATTTTATCAATATAATTATTATCATTATAACATTTTTGTATTGTGTAAGTTATAAATGGTATACACTAAAAGACTTTGAGGAAATATTACACATTAAGATTTCTGTAATATTTAGGAAATATTTCAACGAAAGTTAAAATTTTTTCAAAAAATAAAATCAATCGGTATTTTCTAACATGTTTAACACCTTAGGATCTTAAAAAATTAAAAATTACTGCGCAGCTGTAAAAGCCATATTAGAAACTGAGATTGACCAGTGCGCATCATTTAAATTGAAAATTTCCAAAATATTTTAATGAAATATTTCTACAACTACCTATATAGCATCAATATTTCCTCAAAGGCGGACATTTTTCTGTTTGCAACAATATTTCAAGAACTTTTCATTAAAATATTTCAAAAATATTTAGGAAATATTATCTGCTGAGTGGGTATTGATGTTTAAGTCTTTATTACATCTAAAATATTCAATAAAATATATTTTTGATTTTGCCTATATTAAAAAAGAACTTTTTATTGAGGTAAAACTATCATGCTTGGTTGAGGATTTTTAGTGTTTAAGGATGTATTTGGGACCAAAATAAAGAAGTTTCAATTTAAAAAAATTGGTTCTTCGTCTTTTAACTAAAATTGAAAACGAAAAATTCGTTCTTTGATTCGTCGAATCAACGTTGGTAACTTCAGTGTCATCAAAATACTATAATATAGAATTCAAATTTATATCCTCGAAATAACATTTATGATTAATATATATTTTAGATAATTAATTTTATGTTTAATTTTATGTAACGTTATGTGTAGAATTACCAGTCGTAGAAAGTAATACCAAATTGATAACTATACATATAGGAAACTAAATTATTAAGATATTTACATTATATTCTTGAATCTCATCACTGATTGATAGGATTTGATAGATCGAATCTTTCTAATCTAAAAAAAATGTTTCTAAAAAAACTAAAAAGTTTTAAATACAGAAATTGGGAAAGTTTAATTTTATCTTGATTATTAAGGATGTATGTACATATTGATGAGTTTTAAAAGAAAAATATGTTTAATGATCCACGTGTAATGTGTAGTTAGTGTATATATATTATGTAATAGAGAAGTTGACGTTCACTTTCATCAAAACGATTTTTCCTATAAGCCACAAACTCTACATAGAAAAAAGAAATCTTAACACTTATCTTGTTCTTACACCGAGAAAAAAGATTTCTTTAATTCAAAGAAATCAATTTCTTTGACAAATTTTTCTTTGATTCAAAGAAAATTTATTTGTTTCAAACAAATTATCTTTAATTAAAAAAAAAATTATCTTCGTTTCAAAGAAATTTGTTATTTAATTCAAATAAATGTTCCTGTGACCCTATATCAATGTTAGAATTTCTTCGATTTAATGCACAAATTTCTTTCATTCAAAGAACATTTTTTTGAATCAAAGAAATTTTCTTTGAAACTAAGAAGCTTTTTTTGTTTCAAAGAAAATTTTATTTTGAATGAAAGAAAACAAGTCAAAGAAACTGGTTTCTTTAAATCAAAGAAATCTTTTTTCTGGATGTACAGCCAAATTATTTTAAAAATATGACCATTTTTGGACTTATAAAATTAAGTTTTTAGACTTATTTATGAATTAAGTTTTGAATTTTTTTTACACCCAGAGAAGAATTTTATATTTATAGTACAAATAAGATTTTATTTAGTTCAAAAATTGACTTAAAACAAATAAATATTTATAGTTGACTCTGAGACAAAATTATCTTTTCTCTAATAATCAATTTTTTAAGAATAAATTTTTTAATAAAATATTATTATATTCTGGCAAATTATGATGACCATGTAAAATAAAATAGTAAATTAAACAATTATTAAATTAATAACATCTTTTTAGATATTTTAAATAATATTTTGTAATAAAATTTGTACTTAAAGAAGTTGCAAAAAAAATTTCGTTCATATGAACGTTCAAATTACATATGTGAAATCACAACAATCACATGACCTTAAAATGTTTAATTTAAAAAAAATTCTTTTTGAATAATTTTAAACTATTACTAAATCAAATAGTAATATTTTACTAAAAATTAGTAAAAATTCTACTAATGTGAATTAGTAGCTCACTTTTCACTAATTTAAATTTAGAGAGATAAAAATGTTAATAATAAATTAATATACATATTCCGTTAAATGAAATAAAATTAATGTATATTTTTCCTGATACCATAATTTTTGTTAGTTTTCTTTTTCTTTATGATGATATACGCTTTTCGTGTGAATGTAAAAAATTTCAGGAGAGACTTGCGATTGGCTCTCGCCATTCTCAGACGATTCACGAAGGTTGCACCTCTACATGTATATGTGTAAGTCCAGATCACAAATATCGACTCGTGTATATGGTAACGGTAGATCGAATAAACCTTTGCACCGGTAAGATCGTCTCTGAGTGGCGTGTGCTTGATAATTAAAAAAAAAGTTTATTTATAATTTTCCTCTCAATATTTCGACGAATATTGTGTATGAATATCAGTTTTAATTTTATTTCGCCTATATTTCGCCAAGGAATTTTTTTTTATTTTTTAAATATTATTGACAAATATTTTTTGTAAACAATATATAGAAGTGATTTTTTCTTCTGTTTTAATTTTTCAGATCAAATGTAAGTGCGCGTGTGATCGTGTGTGTGTGTGTTACTGCAACAACAACAGCACAGGCGTTTTTGGAGGAAGACTGTGGAAATCCAAAAAATGGCAAGGTGTCAACATTTCATTTCCAGCCTCATATTTTACTGTTGTCTCGTGCTGCATTTTGGTAAGTGTTTCTATAGTTTTTTTTCTCTCATTTTTTTCCAATTTTTTAAATGGAATTTCTGTTATCAATGCTTTTAGTTTTCTCTTTTAATTGAATATTTGATTTGGAGAATAAAAATTGATAGATATTTGAGTTAATTAATAAAAAATTTTAATTATAATACCAATAATTTTAACAAATAAAAGAGATCAATAGGAAAAGAAAAAGTAGTATTTAAAAAGAAAAAACTTAAAATTATTGACAAAAAAAATTTAAATTAAACATAATTTGTTTATTATTGTTTTTATTGAAAATAAAAATTTATCTTTACATAAAAATAATACTTTAAAGTTTGTTTTAATACTTTTTGGAAAAAAAAATTAGTTGCGTTAAGAGAATGTGTGAAGAGAAATTTTGAAATTTAAATATATTAAATAATTTTCAAAATATTTAAATATTGACAGTACAGACGTAATAAAACGTAAAATAAATATTTATGAATGACTGTAAAATTACACAGTCACAATGTGATTGAAACTAATGAATGGCATTGCTTTAAGAAAAAACACTATATATATATGTTTCATAAACTATTGAACTTTATCATTGAATATGATTACCATTGTTTACAACTGTTATAAACATTTTATTTGAATTCCTTTTAAAAGATAACGATTATTTTTTTTTAAAATACTATATTAATTTTTACTGAATATCTATTTTAATTACGGTTAAGTACTCTGGAAAAAAAATTTATTTGATTCAAATAATCGGTTACTTGACAAATAAATATTTATTTGATAATAATCAAGTAATCGATTATTTGAATCAAAGAAATTTTTTTCAGTGTAGTAATTTTTTATTATTATTTTATATACGTTATGAATGTTGATTATCAAAAATAATTAACCAGAATTAACAAATATATAATGGTAAATATTTTTATTTCCTAAATAAATATATTTTTATTGTTCCTATTATAAATTTTGGTTAACTGATAATAAAAATTTGATTTTAGTTTACAAATATTATTGATATTTTATTAATGCTTTAAATAATAAAAGGAGGAATAAAAAATAATTTAAGATTTCTTTTTTTTTTTGTGAAATTTTGCAAATCGAAATAGAAATATTTTTTTTTTCTCATTAATTTACAAGTCATTGGCGCAGTAAAACTTCTTGAGCAATATAAACGACTTCTGTATGTAATTACGATGGTTCCAATTACAATAATAGGCACTTAAATATTCCAAGATGTACTTCCAATTATTTTCTTATAGAGACATACTAAGTTTTAACTTTCACTAGCCGGTGGTTGTCGCATTTATGATAAAATCGAAACCTTGACACGTCAAGAATTGTTCATCTCATTCCTTTGTTATTGTCTTTGCTAATTTTGGTTCCGGTTGGTTGATTGTGTAATAGAAAATTACAGATATATATATATACTCTTTAAATTCCTTTCATTAATAACTTATTTTATAAAAAAAAATTTCACTTAAAAAAAACAAATATTTTTTTTGTCCACTTTTTACATAAATCATTTCCAAGTCAAATGAATATTAAATTTAAAAATTAGAAAACATTAGTCATAGTTTATTTTTTATTGAGAATTTTAGTTTTTAATAATTCTGAATTTTTTTACTTCCTTTGAAAATGTATGTTTATTAAAGTTGCCTAGATGGAATGTTGAATAAAATTGTTGAATTTGTAACAATACCTAAGGTAAAAATATTATTGTACAATTGAATACCCGGATCAAATAACTCGACCGACGCTCGGACGCACGCTCTAATGGTAGTCGGGTAGCAATGAGCCGCCCACAGGCTGTCACTGCTACTTGACTGGTAATAGAGCGTTCGTCCGAGCGTCGGTCGAGTTATTTGATCCGGGTATTCAATTGTATAAGTATTCAGATATTTTTTTAGTCATTTTTTCCATTAGTTTTTGTATAGGATAATCTTTTATTTTTATTTTTTTATTTGATGTAAATAATTTGGTGATTTCAAGACAGGATTTTGATGCAATTAAATAGGGTTGTACTTGTACTTTTCAAATGAAGGAGATAAAATTTTTTGACTCATGAGGAATCGATCACTAATTCTATAAGTATACCACTCACTTAAAGGGCCTTAATGACTGCGGCTATCATAAACTATTATATAAAAACGTTTCCTTTTGAAAATTGTTACTTTAAATAAATTAAATTAAATTTAATATAAATAAATTTATAAGATATAATTTTAAAAACTTACAAAAAAAACAACTAATTAACAATATAATTCTAGAGTAATAATTATTTTAAATAGTTGACTCTTGTTTTTTTGTTTAATAATTAAATAAAATGTTAATTGCTTTTAAATAATAATTGCTCTTGAATAAAACATATTTTAAAGTTTTCAACCAATTTTCACAATTGTGATAGAAATAATATTTGTAAATTAATATCGTGAGGGGAAATTCTTTATTAAAAAGTCCAGTATGGATATATTAAACTTGGCGAGAAGAGAAAACTTTTCTAATTGCATAGTTTACATAATTGAGTGCAACTTGAGGCTATAATTAAATTTGTTGTATGAACCTGTACACACACACTATATGTATTATAAGATCGTTATTCTTATATTATCATATTTTGTGCAAAACAGTAATAAAAGATATAGAACTAATTGTAAAGTCCGCAAGTTGGAAAGTTTTCACGTTTAAAATTTAAATTAGCATATAGAATGGGATGCGCGATTTTTGTATATATATATATATATACATATCGCGAAGTCATATACATATATATATATATATTTATCATTATGGTCGCAAAGTAATGTGCGCGCGTTTACAATAATTGCATAATGGTTTCTCTCTGTTCATGTTGAGATAGGGAGCCGTGGCCTGCTTTTTTATACACCATAGGAGAGGACTTTCACTCAGTGTCTCTCAAACCTGTCCAGAATTGTATATTTATATTTGCCATGGGCCATATTTTTATAAAATTATATAAATATTTTCAATTTGAAAATCGTAACAAGCTTCTGTTCTTTATATTCTAAACACATCAGTGCGTCCAATTTGACCATACCACGATAGTGTAATAAATTTATTGCTATACCGGTTCGAATTTCTCCTCTCGATTTATAACTCTCAGTTTTTCCATGGAGAATCTATATATATATATTTCAGGGTTCTTTTTATCTTTCACAATCAGAATAACTAGTCTATTTTCGAAAATATATATATAACATAGTAAAATAAATTTCATAGATGTATAAGTTAATGAAAGGCTAGCATCTCTGTTACGTAAGTTTTCCATTAGAACAATTTTTTTTTTTTTTATCCGAACACTTTCTCTGTTGAGAAGGTTGAGTTATTGATTGTATGTGTATGTGTGAGTATGTGTACTTTCCGGTTACACAGGCGGATTTTAAACAATCCTGTTTCGATTGATCGAAATTGAAAGGAAAGCTGATAATGTTTCTTATATTGATTAACGATATATATAGCTTCTCTAATAGAAATCATTCCACTCTCGTTTTATTCCGTATAGAACATTTCTGTTTTATGTTATATATAGAAATAGTATAAACCAGTTTACAGGAATTCTTATGAATAAATTAAAATTTTGTAAATGTATATTTTTCAAGGTTTTATAAAATCAAATTTTCTGCCTGATTCGAATTTAAAATTTTTTTTCACCTTTATTATTTCTCATTATGATGTTAATATTTTTGATTTATTGTTGATTTCGTTTTTTCTTTTACTTTATCGGCGTTCTTTATATATGTAGGATAGTAATAATTTTCTAATTGGAGATTATTATTATTGTTATTATTATTATATCGTGATGTTTCGAAAAAGAGGTAATCATGTTATAGTGACAGGCATATTATATTTGAGTAGGAAGAAACTTTGTTTTAAGGGCTCGTCCTCCTCAAATTGCTGACGTTTAGCAGCTTATCTGGATTACAGCTTCCCCCATATACTTTATATATATATATAGGGAGAATGAAAGTGAGATAATGTGTTCAATGGAAAACAGCATCCTAATATATATATATATTCATTTTACATATAATGAACTATAAAATTTGCAAAATTCGTTTCATTTGATTTTCGATGGAAATTATAAATATTTTCTCCTGAGGTCGTGTGACAAACATCCGTGACGAAGAAATACAATGAAGAATACATTGATTTAATCTTATAAAGCATTTGCATTCAATTTAATTAATATAATTATCATGAGAATTCAATTAAGACGTTAATATAAAGATTAAAATAAACGTTATGTCTTAATTATATAATTGTTTAAAAAAGTTTCTCAACAAATATCAATTAAGTTATATTAAAAGCCTGCTCGTAAACTCAATTTTTAATTATAATGTTCTTATTTTATATTAGACGATAATTTGTTTATATCATATAATTTATATTTTAATGCCATAGTACCGAATAATAATAATAATAATAATCATGATAATATTGAATCATTCCATTATATTTCGACTAAAGTCGTTGCCGAATAATTTAAAAAAATTATAAATTATAATACTCTGGAGGAATGATTTTAAAGGAATCAAGATCACCAAATGAAAAGAATTTTATTAAAATATATGGATTTAAAGCATATGAGGTGCTGAAAACTGAAACTTTTTCATCTAATAGAAAATATTAAAGAAAACATATAATTTGCCATGAAAATGTAACAGAAGTAATATTGGAATTTATTAAAAATGACTAAATTTATTTTTATAAATTAATAGAAGTAATTAAAGATAAGAAATAATAAATAAAATATGATTTTAAAATTTACCTATAAAATAACCTAATTTAGCGATTTTTATCCATTAATTGTAAGCAAGGGAAGTCATTAAAAAAAATAATAATTTTAAAAAATAGAAAATTCATCAATTAAAATGAGCACTTTGCTGATTTTTACCATCTTTAAACGTTAACAACTTTCTTACAGAAAAATAAAAATTCACGAAACTTGGGGAATATCTCAATGGTCACTATAAATATATACAC